GTGGCTCAGTGGATTGAGTGCCAGCCTGCGAACCGAAAGGTCGCTCGTTCAATTCCCAGTCAGGGCACATGCCTAGGTTGTGGGCCAGGTCCCCAGCTGGGGGTGTGTGAGAAGCAACTGTTTCTCTCTGGTACAGCAATGTTCCTCTCCCTCTCTGTCTCCTCCCCTACCCCTCTCTCTAAAAATAAATAAAATCTTTAAAAAACAAAAAAACCACAATGTGATACCACTATGCACCTGGCAGACTGGCAGAATGGCTAAGATATGGAACAACAGGAACTCTCGATCACTCCTGGTGGGAGAACAACTGATACAAGCACTTTAGGAAAGCATTTGTTAACATTATAAAGTTGAAAGCATGCATACTGAATGGCCCAACAACTGCATTCCTAGGTATGACCTTGGGAGAGAAGGACACTAATGTTTCCAATAACCAGCTGCTAGAAACAATTCACATGCCCACTGATAGTAGAATGTGTAAACAAAGTATAATACATTCAACAATATACTACTAAGCAGCAATGAAAATGAACTACAACCTTGAAAACATGCATCAACAAGCATAATGTTCAATGAAAGAGGCCAAACATAAAGGAATCAATAATATATACGGTTCCATTCATATTGAGGTCAAGATCAGGCAAAACAAAATGATGTTGTTTAAAGAAGTAAACACAGGGAGTAAAGCCATAAAAAAAAAAAAGCATGTGTTGGTAGCATAGTCAGGATAATGGTTTCCACTAGGATGAGAGAAGGGGATGAGGATTGGGATTGGGAGAGACACGTGGAGGCCAGGGTGCTTGACCTGAGTACTAGTTAAATGCGTGTTCATGTTAGCATTATTTCCTAAACTATATGTTGATGTTTTCTGTACCTTTATGTACATACGTTAGATTCCACAATTTTTAAAAGTTTTATAATGTTCAATAGATGGATTTAACGACAGATTATAAATGGCTAGAAAGGAAAATTAGTAAATTGTAAAACAGCTAAAGAAAGCACAGAAAACAGAAGAACAAAGAAATAGAAATTTTCAAAAAATTGAAACATAGAAGACATGGAAGATAGAGTTAGAAAGTCTAACAAAAATCTGTTATCCTACAGGGAGAAGACAGAATGAGGCAGTGGCAAGATTTTAAGAGATAGTCACTAAGAACTTTCCAGAACTGATAAAAGACACAAATCCACAAATTCAAGAAGCCAAATAAATCCCTAGCAGGAAGAACAGAAACAGATCTACCTAGATGTAAGATCTTAAAATCAGCCACACTGAAAAAGCTGATACCTTTAAAAACCATGACTTTTAGACTGAGAGCTGACTTCTCAATGGCACCAATGAAATCCAGAAGAGAGCTGAATAATATCTTCAATGTGCTAAGAGAATAACTGTCAGAGAGAAAAAACAACTATCAGTTATTAAGAGAATAACTGTCACACTAAAAGAATCAGAAGTCTGAATATCTTCAAACTTTTTAGCAAAGTACTAGGAACTAGAAACCAATGAACTAATGCCTTCCAAATTTGGGGGGGAAATGATTTTCCAACCTAGAATTCTACATCCAAACTGTCAATTGCAAGGTTAGACTAAAGACATTTTCTAACATGAAAGGACTCATATATTTACCTCCTCCACATTCTTTCTCTGGAAGCGACCAGAGAAGGTGATCCACCAAAACCAGAGAAGAACCTCAGAAAGAGGTAAGAGATGGAATTTATGAAACAGGGGCCCCAAGCAAAAAAAGGGGCAAATGCAATCTCCAGGATAATGGCATGGGAACGTAGGCTGGCAGCTGGCCAATGGGCCTGGAGGGCAAGTCAAAAGGCTCCAAGAGAGAGCACTTCAAGGGAATGAAATTAATGAAATGCTGGACATCTTTGACCAGCTAGAGAGGAGATACAGACAGCTGGCCTATATAGCAGAAAACAAGCAACACAGGGATTGGGGGAGACAAGCATTAACTCTAAGAAAAACAAAACATTGGGAGAGAAAGGAAACATCATCAGAGTAATGACTCAGCTGTGACCAGTGTTTTCATGGACTTGATAATATGAACACCAAGGAATGATCTAACCCAAATCATTGTATACCATACTGGATGGGAGTCAGGGAATGAAAGAGCTACATCATTGTCCTTTATAGTAAGAAGTCATTCAATAATTTCTAAAATACATACACATATATATATATATATATATATAAAGAAATAGCACTATAAACAATTTTTTTTAGAGAACTGGAGGTAAATGCCAAAAGAAACAGCTAAAAAGGTATAAAGTGGTTGGTTCTGGAGAGTGGATGATTGAATGGGTACAAGTCAGGGATTGAGCTTTTTTTTTTTTTTTTTTTTTTTTGTCATAAACCTCGTAGAACCACTTAACTCTTTGGAACAAGGGTTGGCAAATTATGGCCTGGTTTTATACAGGCTTGCACTAAGAATGATTTTTACATTTTTAAATGGTTGAAAAAAATCAGAAAAAGATTATTTTTGACATGTGAAAATTACATGAGATTCAAATTTAAATGTCCATATAAACAAAGTGTGATTGGCACACAGCCAACCCTGTTCGTTTACATATTGTCCATGTTTGCATTTATGCCACCATAATGACAGAGTTGAGTAGCTGTAACAGAGATCCCATGGTCTCAAATATTTACTATCTGGCTCTTTACAGAAAAAGTTTGCTGACCTCTGCTTTAAACTATGTTCATATATACCATTGATAAATGTAAGAACTAAATAATTGTTTAAAAGGAAACAGAGCCCTGGCAGGTGTGGCTCAGTGGATTGAGTGCCGGCCTGTGAACCAAAGGGTCACCAGTTTGATTCCCAGTCAGGGCACAGGCCTGGGTTGCAGGCCAAGTCCCCAGTGCGAGGGGGCGCGTGAGAGGCACCCACACATCGATGTTTCTCTCCCTTTCTTTCTCCTTCTCTTCCCCTCTCTATAAATAAATAAATATTTTAAAAAAGGAAATAGAAAACGGAAAATTAAAGCTTGCTAATGACTTGTTCTATTGGGAAATTTTATAGGTATCACATGAAACTGAAAATTGAGAGAAAAATATTGGTGAAAAAAAATTAAAGGTAACCACTAGGAACATAACATCCAAATAATCAAAGGTAGACATAAAATGGAACTTGATTAATCCAAAAAAAAAAGAAGGAAAGGAGAAAGAAAAAGAAACAAGATATCAGGTTAAATAGAAAATATAAAATAGAATGTTAATAAGATGTGATTATCAATGGCTATATACTATATTCTTGAGAAGACTCAATACTGTAAATGTCAGCTCTCTACATATTAACCTATAAGTTTAATAAAATCCCAATTAAAAACCCAATGGGAATGTCTTATGAATCTTAAAATATCTAAAATTTTAAGATTTATTTGGGAAAAATGCCAAAAAAGCTAAGAAATTTTTTTAAATAAAATAAATGTGGTCTTCAGACAATTGGCTATTTGAAAAAAATTAAGTTAGAGTGTTTCCTGATATTCATATGCAACAATAAGGTTGAGACAGAATAAAAATCTAAACAAAAATAAAACTATAAAAATATTAGGACATAATAGGAATATTTTTATAATTTTGTGTGGAGAATATCTTTCTAAACGACTCAAACCAAAATGTCATGAAGCAAAAGTTTTACATATTTTACTGCACAAAAGTGTTTTAAACATTCTTATACAGAAAAAAAGCATAAAGTTAGGTTTGGGTTCAAACACTTGCTTCTTTTTAAAAATAAAGTATCTCAACATTTTTTTAAAGCAACAGATTGAGGAAAAAAAGATTTGCAATATCTCCAATAGATAAAAGGCCAATCAACACAAAGAGGTCCTACATATCAGAAAGCTAAAGAGAAATAATCCAATATAAAAACAGTAAGAGATAGCAACAGACAATTCAGAAAGTACAGACTACTAATGGCAATAAACATATGATAAATGTGCAACTGCGAGGAAGTTGAACAAACGTAAATCAAAGCAGTGATTAAATATGATTTTCTCATTCATCAGAATGACACACATTAAAAAGTCTAACAGCTACCCAGTGTAGAAGTAAGAGCACATATAGGGGCAGGATTTTTCTTGAGCAATAACGAGTGTTGATGAAAAATTTCAATTCACTACCTTTTAACCAAGAACATGAATGTCTAGCCGCATTCAGGGACACTAATACTTGTCAGCAGCTCAGCAGTTTTGAAGATGCTTCCCAGTGGTTGAACTTAGGATTTAGTGTTGCGGAGATGGTGCCACTGAGAGCAAGGCTGATTCTTGGGAAATCATCTCAAAATCAGAGAGACTACAGTGTGGCCCTTGTACAGATGGGGACTTTCATATAGAAAGTCAATGGGAGCTCCCTTAAGTCAGACTCCCTGGGAAAGCTGCGGACCAGCATTGGGCTAACGCCACGTAAACACTCACACAGGTCTTTCCGTACAGAAGATTCTAGAAAGAAAGGTCAGCGCAGAGATGCCGTGGTGTCTCGAAACCTCGGTCCACCTCCTGTTCTCAAAAGCTGACCTGGGAGCCGGGTTGCTACGGTGTGCAAGGAGGGGTACTGGAAAACTGTAAAGTTACAACATAGCTTTCTTTATATTGTGATAAAATACACAAAACAAACTTCACGGTTTTAACTATTTTAGTGTGTGATGCGGCTGCCACTTTACTACCTTCACGTTGTCAACCGCCACAGCATCTAGTCCCAGGACTTTTTGAAAACACCAAAAGTAGATCCTGGACTCAAGTACAGAAGCAGTCCTCTAAATTAATAACATGAAAGAAAATATAAAGATATTAAATGATTTTGAATAATGTTGAATATGCAAATGAGAAATGTTCAAAATCCATTGAACTGGATGCGCGGAGGGAGCCGTACGCGGAGGGAACCACGCGCGGAGCGAGCCAAAGCGGGGGCGGGGGGGAGGGGGGGGAGGTCACATAACTGGCCGCACAGCACCTTCGACGCCATTTTGCCCTCAGACGGTGGACGCGTCGCAGCTATGGCGGACGCTGAGGCGAGTGCTGCCGTGAGCGATGAAGCCAAGCCTGATGCGGACACTTTGCAGGTGCTACGGGACCTGGCCAATCGTTTGCGCATCCACTCCATCAGGGCCACGTGCACCTCAAGCTTCGGGTAAGTCGCCTGCGTCGAAGCCGAATTGACGCCGAGCGGGCAGGCCTAGCGGTGATGAGCATGAGGTGAAACGAGCCGTTGGAGTTGGGAGGGCTTGGTCATAGAGGCCCAATTTTGGGCCACTGGGGCTTGGGTTCTACTCTCAGACGCCAGCTAAGTGTGGTCACTACTGGGTCACTTAGTGCCCAGCCACGTGCTCAGGCACTTGTCCCTCACCTCAGGCGCTGCCTCGTTGGTGGTCCCTGGTAGCAACGTAGGCCCGTGGGCTGGCAGGGGATGGAGAGGGCAGTCCGAGGGATCGGAACAGGCTAAGGTGGAATGGGGAAGGCCTTGTATTTTATGTGTAAGTGGTTGCCCTCAACGCCAGGGTCCCCAAATCAAGGGCATGGGAATTTAAAGAAATAAAGCCTAGCCCTGACCAGTGTGGCCCCGTTGGTTGGGCGGCATCCCACAAAGCGAAAGGTCCCTGTTGGATTTCTGGTCAGGGCACATGGCTTAGGTTGTGGGTTCTGTCCCTGGCCAGAACACATACAGAGGTAACCAATCAATGTTTCTCCCTTACGTCATGTTTTTCTCCCTTTCCCCCTTCCCTTTTCTCTAAAAATAAATAAATAAAATCTTCTAAAAAAGAAAACCTAAAAGGGGGCTGTTGGGTCTGCTAGTATTTTGTGAAGGATATTTGCATCAGTAGTCATAAGAGATGTTAGCATTTTTCTTGTAAGGTATTTGTCTGGCTTCAGTGTAAGGGCAATGCTGGCTCCAGAATAAATTTCCAAGTGTTTCGTGTGTGTGTGTGTGTGTGTGTGTGTGTATGTGTGTGTGTACACACACGTACAGCGGCCCCCAACCATTTTGGCACCAGGGACCGTTTTTTGTGGAAGGGGGGGAGGGGAGGGGGCTGGGAAGGAAATAGGAGGTGGAGCTCAGGTGGTATTGCAAGCGAAGTTTTGCTCGCTGGACCACAGCTCACCTCCTGCTGTGCTACCCGGTTTCCTAATAGGCCATGGACACGTACCGGTCCGTGGCCAGAGGGTTGGGAATCCAACCCCTGTTTTACAAGACTTTGAGTATCAATGTTTATTCTTTATATCAGGCCCAGGGTTTTCCTTTGTCAGGAGAGTTTTTGACTACTGATTGAATCTCCTTGTTAGCTACGGGTTTATTCTAATTTTCTGTTTCTTCATGACTCAGTCTTGGGTGTTTCTAGAAATTTCTTCCAGGTTAGCCCATTTATTTTTTTTTTTATTGTATTTTATTGCTTACGCTAGTACAGTTGTCCCAGTTTTTTACCTTTTGCCCCCATGCTCTCTCAGGCAATCCCCACAATGTAGTCCATGTCCATGGTGATGCATACATGTTCTTTGGCTAATCCCTTCACCTCCCTCCACTCTCACAGCTGTCATGTTCCATGTTTCTATGCCTCTGATTCTACTAATATTTTGCCCAATAGTTTATTTTGTTTGTTAAAATCCGTAAATAAGTGAGATTATATGGTATTCATTTTTCATTGGCTGACTTATTTCACTTAGCCTAATGGTCTCTAGGTCCATCCATGCTGTCTTAAAGAGTAAGAATTCTTTTTTTTTTCTTTTTTTTTCATTGTCAGGTAATATTCCATTGTGGAAGCAGGGGTGTAAAACCTGCAGACCGTGGCATGTAACCTAGCACAAAATCATAAATTTACCTAAAACATTATGAGATTTCCTTTTTTGTGATTACGTGTTACAATGTATTTAATGTGTGGCCCAAGATAACTCTTCTTCCCTTGTGGCCCAGATATACCAAAAGGTTGGACACCCCTGGAAAGGATGAGCATTTGGGTTGTTTCCAGATGTTGGCTATTGTAAATAACACTGCTATGAACATAGGGGTGCTATATTCTTTCTGATTAGTTCTTTGAGTATATTCCCAGAAGTGGAATTGCTGGGTCAAAAGCAGTTCCATTTTGTAAGTATATTTTATGGATTATGTCCCATTTTTTTCTCCCCTTTATTCCCCTCCCCCTACAATCCTCCTCCCACCAGCATTCCCACCCCCCTTATTAGTTCATGTCCATGGGTCATACATATGTTCTTTGGCTTCTCCATTTCTTATACTATTCGTAACCTCCCCCTGTCTATTTTGTACCTACAATTTATGCTGCTTATCTCCTGTGCCTTTTCCCCCATTCTCCCCCCTCTCCCTTCCTGCTGATAACCCTCCTTTGGTCTCCATTTCTGTGATTCTGTTCCTGTTCTAGTTTTTCGCTTAGTTTGTGTTTGTTTTTGTTTTCTTAGGTTCAGCTGTTGATAGTTGTGAGTTTGTTGTCATTTCACTGTTTATAGCTTTGATCTTTTTCTTAGGTAAGTCCCGTTAACGTTTAATATAATAAGTGCTTGGTGATGATGAACTCCTTTAACTTGATCTTATCTGGGAAGCACTTTATCTGCCCTTCCATTCTATACGATAGCTTTACTGGATAGAGGAATCTTGGATGTAGGTCCTTGCCTTTCGTGACTTCAAGTGCTTCTTTACAGCCCCTTCTTTCCTGCAAGGTTTCTTTTGAGAAATCAGCCAATAGTCTTACGGGAACGCCTTGTAGGTAACTCTCTCCATTTCTCTTGCTGCTTTTAAGATTCTCTCCTTATCTTTAATCTTGGGTAATGTAATTATGATGTGTTTTGGTGTGTTCCTCTTTGGGTCTGACTTGTTTGGGACTCTTTGAGCTTCCAGGACTTATATGGCTGTTTCCTTCGCCAGATTGGGGAAGTTTCCTTTCATTAGTTCAAATAAGTTTTCAATTTCTTCCTCTTCCTCTTCTCTTTCTGGCACTGCTGTGATTCAGATGTTGGAACGTTTAAAGTTGTACCAGAGGTTCCTCAGCTTCTCTTCATTGTTTTTTGAATTTTTGTTTCTTCATTCTGTTCTAGTTGGATGTTTATTTTTTCCTTTTGTTCCAAATTGTTGATTTGAATCCCGGTTTCCTTCCCTTGCCTTTTGGTTCCCTGTACATTTTTCTTTATTTCATTTTGCATAGCCTTCACTTTTTCCTCTATTTTGAGACTGAATTCAACCATTTCTGTGCGCATCCTGATTACCAGTGTTTTGAACTCTGCATTTTATAGGTTGGCTATCTCCACGTCGCTCAGTTCTTTTTCTGGAGTTTTGATCTGATCTTTCATTTGGGCCATATTTCTTCATCTTGGCGCACCTGTTAAATTGTAAGGGGCAGAGCCATAGGTATTGGCCAGTGCGGGGCATTCCACTTTGGTACTCTGTGGCACTGTATGTTGGGGAGGGGTCAGAGGGGGAACAGTGACGCTTGCTCGGCTCTGGCCCCACTTCCAGTCACTTCCCCTGCTACCCAGAAGCAAATTGCGCCCTTTGAGGTGCTGCCCTGGTACTGATTCCTGGGTGGGTGGGCTTGTGTGTATGTATGTTCTAGGACCCTGTGGTCCCCTCCACTGGACTCTCCTGTGAGACTGACGGTTTCTCCCACTGCTGCAACCCCACAGGTTTTTACAGCCAGAGGTATTGAGGCTTCATTTTCACTGGAGCTCTGGGTTGTGTGGTCTGTCTTGCTCCGCAGTTGTTTATCTGCATGCGGATATGGGACCAGCCCATCCACCAGCCGCTGGCTTGCTGAACACCCTCTTCATCCAAGCTTCCCGTCTCCGTCCTTCCTACCAGTCTGGATGAATATTTCTTCTTTGACTCCTTGGTTGTTGGACTTGCATACCGGTCTATTTTCTGGCAGTTCTGGTTTTTTGTTTTTAAGTTGGTTGTCATCATTCTTTCAGTTGTGTGAGGAAGCGAAGTGTATCTACCTACGCCTCCATCTTGGGTGGCGGCAGTTCCATTTTTAATTTTTGGAGGAAACTCCATACTGCTTTTCACAGTGATTGCACAAGTCTGCATTCCCACCACCAGTGCATGAGAGTTCCCTTTTCTCCACTTCCTTGCCAGCACTTGTTGTTTGTTGATTTATTAATGATAGCCATTCTGATAGGTGTGAAGTGATAGCTCATTGTGGTTTTAATTTGCAACTCTCTGATGATTAGTGATGTTGAACATTTATTCATATGTCTGTGGGCCATCTGTATGTCCTCCTTGGAGAAGTGTCTATTCAGGACCTTTGCCCATTTTTTAATTGGATTGTTTGTCTTCCTGGCACTGAGTTATATAAGTTCTTTATATATTTTGGAAATTAAACCCTTATCAGATGTATCATGGGCAAATATGTTCTTCCATACAGTGAGTTCCCTTGTCACTTTGATGATGGTTTCTTTACCTGTGCAGAAGCTTTTTAATTTGGTATAGTCACATTTGTTAACCCACTTATTAATGTATAACTGTTCACAGTGCTTTTTATAATCTTTTTTATTTCTGTAGAATTGGTAGTAATATTCTTTTCATTTGTTAAATGAAATTAGTAATTTCAAATCTTCAGTAATTTTTTTTTTTTACTTAGTATAGCTAAAGATTTGTTAATTTGGTTAATCTTCTCAAAGAACCAACTTTTGTTTTTGTTGATTTTTCTCTGTTTTCCTGGTCTTTATACTCTTAACTTTTTTTTTCTGGTAACTTTGGATTTAGTTCTTTTTCTGTTTCAAAACTTCTAAATTAGGTTTTTATTTGAGATCATTCCTTTTTAATGTGTTTGCAGCTCTAAATTTCCCTCCTAGCACTGCTTTTGCTGCATCCCATAAGTTTTGGTGTGTTGTATTTTCATTTTCATTTGTGTTAAGTATTTCCTAATTTCTCTTGTGATTTCTTCTATGACCCATTGTTTCTTTAAGACCTGCCTATTTTTGGAATTTTTTAACTTTTATTTTGCTCCCTTTGCCTTCAAAATTAATAATTCAGGTTTGCATTTTCTCAAGGGACCTCTAACAGCTTTTAAATCCAAACCATCTCCTTACACGCTACAGCTTAGGGGATACTTGCAAGGCAAACAGTTTGTCTCCATTGAGCCACACTGGCCAGGGAAAAAGGAGATATAATTAATACTCATGAGCTAGGCCTAAAGTCCTAACTCTTCCTATAATTGACAGGGCTTTAGGGAGTTGGTTTTGTCCCCTGCCCTGTCCCCTCCCCCCTTATTAATAAATAAGGGACTGGCTGGCCTCACGTGCAGACTGCCTTCTAAAAGCAGCTGCTGTTGGCATTCAGTAAGAGTCTTAAGTTACTCCATCTTGAGAAACTTCTCAGTCTCACTCTTCACTTCCTAAAGGAAACTAACTTTAGGTAGTAGAATGGGATGGTCTTTGTGGTGTTTCTCTTTAAAAACAAAAACAAAAACTTTCCCCCAACCCTGGCCAGTGTGGCTCAGTTGGTTGGAGTGTCATCCTGTACACCAAAACTTTGCAGGGTTTGATCCCTGTTCGGGGAGTGTACAGGAGGCAACCAGTCGATGTTTCTCTCTCTCTCTCCCTCCCTTCCTCTCTCTCTAAAGTTAATAAATGTTATTTTTTTTTAAACAAATAAAATAAAAAACTTTCCCCTCAACTTTATTAAGATAGAACTGACATATAGCACTGTATAAGTTTAAGCTATATGACATGATTTGACTTCTACATTGTGAAATGATTACGACAGTAAATTTAGTTAATAGCTATCATCTAATACGGATACAAAAGAAAGATTTTTTTTCTTGTGATGAGAACCATCAGGATGTTAACAATTCTTAATTTTAAATGTATATACTATACAGCAGTGTTACCTATCGTCAAATTGTTTTTGTACATTAAATCCCTGGTACCTACTTATTCTGTAACTGGAAGTTTGTACCTTTGACCATCTACAATTCCCCCTCCCCCAACCCCCACGTCTAGTAACCACAAATCTAATGATCTATTTTTTATGAATTTGTTTTTAGATTCCACATATAAGTGAAATTATGTAGTATTTGCCTTTCTACGTCTGACTTACTTCACTTAAGCCTAATGCCCTCAAGGTCCATCCATGTTATCACAAATGGTAGAATTTCCTTTATATGGCTAAGTAATAGTCCATTGTATATATCTACTACATCACCTTTATGCATTCTGTGGACACTTAAGTTGTTTCCATGTCTTGACTATTGTAAATAATGCAGCTATAACCATAGGGGTGTAGTTATCTCTTTGACATAGTGTTTCCATTTCCTTTGGATATATTCCCAGAAGTGGAATTGATGGATCATATTGTAGTTTATTTTTTATTTTTTGAGGGTCCTCCATAGTGGTGGCACAGATTCACATTCCCACCAACAGTGAACAAGAGTTCTCTTTTCTCCACATCCTTACCAACACCTATCTCTTGTCTTTTTTATGATAACCATTCTAACATAATGGGAGGTGATATTTCATTGTGGTTTTGATTTGCACTTCCTTGATGATTAGTAATGTTGAGCAACTTTTCATGTACCTGTTGGTCATTTGAATATCTTTGGGAAGATGTCTGTTCATGTCCTTTGACCATTTTAATTAGATTATTGGGGGGCTTTGCTATTGAGTTGTATAAATTCTTTATATATTTTGGATATTAACCTCTTATCAGATAAGTAAATATGTTTTCCATATGCTAGGTTGTCTTTTTCATTTTGTTGATGGTTTCCTGTGCAGAAGATTTTTAGTTTGGTGTAGTTTCAGTTTATTTTTATTTTGTTGATTGAACTTTAGGTGTCATATCTGAAAATTCATTACCAAGACCATGTCAAAGAGCCTTTTTTTCTGTGTTTTCTTTAAAGATTTTATTTATTTACCTTTAGAGGGGAAGGGAGGGAGAAAGAGAGAGGGAAAAAGATATCAGTCAGTTGCCTCTCACACACCTCTAATTGGGGACCTGGCCTGCAACCCAGGCATGTGTCCTGACTGGGAATCGAACCAACAACTTTTCAGTTCACAGGCCAGCGCTCAGTCCACTGAGCCATACCAGCCAGGGCTTTTCTGTGTTTTATTCTAGGAGTTTAATGGTTTCCAGTCTTACATTTAACTCTTAATCAATTTCAAGTTAATTTCTGTGACTGTTGTAATATAGGGGTGTAGTTTCTTTTTTTTAAACATATGAACATCCAATTTTCCCAGCCCCCTTTATTGAAGAGACTGTCCTTTCTCCATTGAGTTCTTGGTTCCCGTGTCAAGTAGTATTTGACTATATATGCATGGGTTTATTTCTGCTTCTGACTAATGATATCACAGATAAATTTAAATAAGTGAAAGAATGTCCAAGTGCTTAAGGAGTCACCAGGTAAACTTGCCCCAAGTACACAGGGCTCCATTGATAGAAGGGGACTGATACTGGAAGTCTTGCTCTCCACATGGAGAAAAGTGAGGTTACTGGGCCTTAAGGGATTCTTAAAAGCTTTGAGCTTGGGAGGCAGTGGTTCTGCATTCCTTTCCTTTGCCTGGATTCTTTCAGGGCTGGGAGTAATGACTGCTGGTCTGAGGAGACCATGTGCTGAAAAGCCTCTCTGTGCACCACATCCCTGGTGAGTCACCTGTGAGAAATGACCTGTGCCATATCTGTCTTTCAGCCACCCCACATCATGCAGCAGTGCTGCTGAGATCATGTCCGTGCTGTTTTTCCACGTCATGAGATATAAACAGGAGGACCCGGAGAACCCAAACAATGACCGATTCGTCCTCTGCAAGGTAAGAAGGCATGGGAGCCCAGGGCCTACTCAGATGCTCGCTTAAACTCACTTTTAAAGCCACCATGTGGCAACAAGGCCTGGAATGGACCCTGTTTCTCTTTTTGGTTCTTCTTTCTTTGCCTTATGTCTTATTCCATTCCATTCAGGCTGCTGTAATGAAATACCAAGGACTGGGTGGTTTGTAAATAAAAGAAATTTATTTCTCACAGTTTTGGGGGCCGGAAGTCAAAGATGAAGTCACCAGTATGGTCACGTACTGGTGAGGACCCTTCACTTGGTCATAGACTTCTAACTGTATCTTCACATGGAGGACCTCTTTTATAAGGACACTAATCCCATTTTTGAAGGTTCTGCTCTCGTGACCTAATCACTGCCCAAAGACCCCCACCTCTTAATACTGTCATCTTGGGAATTAGGTTTTCAACATAGGGATTTGGGTGGGGGAGACACAAACACTTAGACCATAGCACCTTGTAAAGATCTAAAAGGTGTTCTAGTGAGGAGTGTGTGGTAGGAAGGATGACTAGTGGTGACTGGCCACCCTTCCTTTCCTTTGGTGGTGCCCCATCTCATACCACCTAGCATTAAAGCCCCCCTCAGCAGGGTCACACTGCTCCCATTCTCTGTCACCTGCGTAGAGGTGGGCAACATTAGCAATCCAACTTTCTGAGCTCGAGGACAATTGAGTTGGATTTGGAGGGACATCCTACCCCTGTCAGTCAGCTTTCTCTTCCATTTCTCTATAGATCTTACTTAACACCTATGGGGCACTTCCTCATTAGACTAGGTGCAGTGCTGGGTGCCTCATTACATTGGGGAATGGGAAAGAAAGGGAATATTAAAAACAAGGTTGATCTAGTACAGATGTGTAACTCTTTGATGCTATCTGAAAGTTTGCTGCATCCTGAGCAAATCATTTAAAATTTAACTGATAGAGCACCATGTACAAACAGAAACCCCAGATCTGAGCAGTAGCCTGTGCTCAGTGCCAAAAGTTGGCCTGATATTCAACTTCCTGATACCTGTGTCCTGCAGGTGCACATAGGTTCATTTGATACCCTCTCTTACAGCGACTGGCATTTATTGATATGGCAATCGGATGGTGTGGACAAGGATTGGGCGCTGCATGCGGGATGGCATATACTGGCAAGTACTTTGACAAGGCCAGGTAAGTTGCATACCCAGAAACCACTTGACTGTCCTCATACCACCTCCAGCACTTCGGCTCTATTTATGGCTTATTATTAGTTTGGGAAGACAATGATTATTCAACAGTTCAGATTACTAAGTATTCGAGCAATATAGAAATCATGTCTCTGGAAACTGTTCTAGAGTCTGGTTGAGTTCTAAGTGCTGCCTGCAGTATAAAAACCAGTTTATTAGGACTCTAATCTTTCCAGAGAAAGACATCATCCTGTTTTCCATGTCTCAGTGAGTTTTACAAGAGAGTGAACAGATGGCACATTTGCCTTTGCATGGGGATCCGTAAATATTAATAGTCAAAGGTTTCTTTTTCTGGAGTGGTTCCACCTTTCTGAAGACAGGCATGTGCCCAGCTTCTGCTGAAAAGGGAGCAAGGTGGAAGTGGGTGGTTGTGGGGGGTGAGAAGGGTTGGCTACGGTAGTGTGCATGTTCTACCTCTGTGACTCCTCCACATGCCTGAGTCCAGAACCCCTCAGTCCCTGGTTCCAGTCCAGGTGGCCCCTCTGGAAGCACTTTGTACTTCCTCCACTGCTCAGGCAGCTGCCCTCCTCCATTTCCCATAAGTCTGTTAACATTTTTCATCTGTCATTATTTCCTCTTATCAGTCCCTATGCTCCAGTTAATCACTTTTTAAAACTTGCAGCATTTTTGTGGGGTCTGGGTTACATTTTATTGGTATAAATGTTTCATGTTTCTGCTGTGGAGGAGTTTACCATTTTCAACAGAACATGCGCTCCTGAGGTAGAATGTTTTGATTGTTGTGATTATTGTAAGTAAATTCGTAAGGTCAGAGGTAGGTGGCAGTGCTTAAAATGGACCTTACCAAGAAACTGTATATGTAAATGCTTGGGTGTTTAAAGGGAGCTGCTTTCTTCCCATCCTCTCTTGATTTTTGAGCTCAGAGAAGTGACAGAAGAACCCAGAAGTAGACTTTACAACTAGAATGAAAAAACAGCCAAAGGTGAAGTCTATTCATGAGGCCCGAGGGTTTTGATTTCTTTTTTTAGGTTTTATTTATTTATTTTTAGGGAGGAAGAATGAGAGGGAGGGAAACATCAATGGGTTGCTTCTCACAAGCCCCCAACCGGGGACCCAGCTGGTAACCCAGGCATGTGCCCTGACTGGGAATGGAACCGGCGACCTTTTGATTCACTGGCTGGTGCTCAGTCTGCTGAGCCACATCAGCCAGGCAGGCCTAAGCTTTTAAAGCTGAGTTTTCCTCAGATGTTGAGTTTGGACAGGATGAACAAGGAAAATAGTATTAGGAACTTGATCTGAAGTGGCTGCCTCAGTCTGTTCTCTTGTTTCTCTCCATGAAGTATATTTGCTTGAGTTGGCCGTGAAGAGACCTGAGCAGGGTCCTAAACTTCTTTTGACTTCCCCCAGCTACCGGGTGTTCTGCCTCTTGAGAGATGGTGAGTCTTGGGAAGGCTCTGTCTGGGAGGCATTGGCCTTCGGTTCCCACTACAGTCTGGATAATCTCATAGCTATCTTCGATGTGAACCGCCTAGGCCGTAGTGGCGTCTTGCCCATTGAGAACTGCATAGACATCTATCAGAAGCGCTGCGAAGCCTTTGGGTAAGTGTCCTGTTTTATGTCACCACCTTTTGTCCCACCCCACCTCCACCTTGTAACCTGGCCTTCTCTTTGGTTGACAGGTGGAACACTTATGTGGTGGATGGCCGTGACGTTGAGGCGCTGTGTGAGGTGTTCTGGCAAGCAACTCAAGTGAAGAACAAGCCCACTGCTGTAATTGCCAAGACCTTCAAGGGCCGGGGCATTCCAAGTAAACAATTGTTTCTTTTCTGCTTGAAGTTATTAAAAACATCTTTCTACACTAGAGACAAGGCAGGAGACTCAGGCTGGCCAGGCAGACAACTGACTTAGTGCACAGTGACTGCCTGAAATACATGCTGCTTCTTCATTTTTATAGATAGTGTGTCTGATTAGGGTGGGAGGGGAAGCCCAGACCCCCAGCAAGTGAGCAGTGATCTTTCTGCCTATATGAGAGAGTGAGTAAGAGGATAGTCTTATCAGTTAGAGGACTGGCAGGGAATGATCTCCACGGGAGTGCACAGTGAGAAGGTGCTGCTTTGTGCATGAGCAGGTATATAAATAAGGGTGAACGCATACATGCATACGCATGCTTGTTTGTGCCCAAAGTATCAGAGAAAACATAGACAACTAGTAAAGTGGTGCCTCCAGGAAAGGTAGCTGTGGAATTGAGGGCCTGGGGAAGAAAGAGGTTTTGAAAGTCTTCCTGCAGATTTCAGAGCTGACACCTGGAGTTGTTCATCTCAAATACAAATAGTTGCAAAAGGCGTGATTCCTGGTATGTTTTAATATAGGAATTTTAGAATAAAACTGTACTATGACTCCTCCCCAAAATACAGTCTTACTCTGGTATCCTGAGTTCAGGAAATGACCACTTGACCGATTTGCTCTAGCAGAAACCTGGATATCTACGTCCTTGCCTCTGCCTCTCCCTTATATGCCCCCTACACCCATACCCAGTCCACCATCAATTCTGTTTTCTGCCCCTGAACTATATCCCAAATCTGTTCATTCCTCTCCTTCTCTCCTACCCAGGCCCCTGCCATCTGTCCCTAACTGCTGTCTCCACAAGCAAGTCCGCACTGGGCTACCGTGGTGATTTTCCTGCAACACAGATCTGATCATTTACCTCCCCACTCCAACCTTCCAGTGGTTTCCCATCTTACTTTGGACAAAACTCAAAACTCCTTATACCAGCTGGATCCTCCATGTTCTGCCCTGCCTATCTCTCCAGCCTCATTTCCCTCACTCTCCCCTCCATTCACCAGCACATGGACCAGTGACCCCTTCAAGACCCTCTGGGGCTTTGTCCAGGCTGTCCTCTAAGAGAGCAGTACCATCTCAGGCTATGCCAGATTTTTACTCCTGTGAGTCCTTGGCTGACATCTTTTCCATCAGGATGTCTTTCAGATGACCTAACAGGTGCTTGTGAAGTATTTAGGGAATGAATGTCTTTTATTCCTTTGTTTGAAGGCATGGAGGATGCAGAAAATTGGCACGGAAAGCCAATGCCAATAGAAAGAGCAGATGCGATTATCAAACTAATTGAGAGCCAGATAGAGACCAACAGGCATCTCGAACCAAAACCCCCTGTTGAAGACGTGCCTCAAATCAGCATCACGGACATAGAGATGACATCTCCACCTGCTTACAGGGTTGGCGACAAGGTAAGCAGACTTCTTTGTTCTCTGCTTTTCTTCCTAAATCCATAGGACTCCTTATTTACTCTGATCTCCATGTATGAACCAGTTATTAGATAATGTAACATTTAAAGGTTATGAGCAATAAAGATGGGTTTACTTTCTCTTTTACTATCTCTGATATTTATTCTTTGATTTTAAACTTAATTCACATCTGAATTTTTTTTATCAGTCATTTGCTACTTATCAGGGCCCAGTGCAGCGTAGTTTTTGCTAGCTTCCTAAATTGTTTGTGGTTGGGCAGTCTACTGTGCATGAAACAATTCTGTGTCTGCTCTAAGGATCGGGGGCCTGGCTGGGCTGATCTTTTCGACCTAATCCCTGGATTACACAAGGAAGCAGTCCAATTCATCAAAGACCAATTCTTAAAAAAAGAAAACAAATTAGGCATGAAACCCTGAACATAAAACTTTTTAATTTTTTATCATTTTTATATCCCACGTTCTGGTATATTACAGCACTCCCAAAATAGGTGGGGTCTTATTAGGATTTAAGAAAACAAGGTGATGATCCTGGGAGGAAGAAAATATTTTCTGATCTTTATTTTCCTTATTTATTTGGGGACATTCTGAGTGTTGCTTACATTTTCTTGGCCTGGTAATATGGGTTAAAAATGAATTAATTACTTAAGAAATTAGAAAACAGATGAAAAAGCAGGAAAAAACTTGATAAGGAAAAAGCACATATTAACAAAGGGCACTTTGGCAATATGTGTTAACACTTGAACTGTTCACACCCTTCAAACTCGCAGGAATTTGTCCTACAGAAACATCTGTGCAAGTGTGCAGATATGTCTATCAGAATGAATGTTGATTACATCAGTGGTTATGATGATAAAATTGGAAATGACCCAGCAAAAAGCTAAAAGCTCGCCCAAATTATTATTAAAGTTTTCAAAGTTGCAAAGTAGCATAGAATGTAATTCTATTTTTGTATAGAAAATCTTGAAAGGGAGCAGCATGTATTACCAAAGGGCATTGAAAAGTTTATTTAAAGATACGATACCAAATTTAGGTTTTTCTAGAAGGTGGAATTATGGGCACTTTTCATTTTTTAAAAGAAGTATGTATATTCTATGAATAATTACAAAAATTATGAAAAATTAAGGAAGCAGGCCAGTTCATAAAAATTAATAAATTAAAAAACAAGTTGCACTAATACACAAAACTAAGAGTTGGCTCTCTGAATTATTAATATAGTAGAGAAGCCATTAGCTAGGTCTACTTAAAGATAAAAAAACATAAGTGTATAAAATTAGTCATTATAGGAGATAACCATAGATGCAGAAAACATTCAGAAAATTATGAGACAATTGTACAACTCTGGTGATTGACATGAAAACCTATTTAAAAAAAGGACCAATTTTTAGGAATACATAAAATACCAAAATTGTCTTTAAAAGATACAAAACACTTAAGTAGATCAACGGCCATAGGAAAAATTGAGAAAACTGTCTAAGAGTTACACCTCCAAATTACCAGTCAGCTCACAAAGTTACAAGAGTGACTTATTTTTAACCTTCAAGGAATGAACAATCCTAGGTTATTTCAACCTTCTTGAATATGGTGAAAGACCAATGTATCATTCCAATTCATTCTGAAGCCAAATGTGACAAAGCTAGACCAAAGGAAAAACTGTAGAGACTGATCTCATTTATGACTATTAATGTAAAAATTCTAAATAAAAGTTACTAATCTCAATTCCATTAGTACATTAAAAGTATATGCAAATTAGTAATTACTGTGATTCATCAATATTAGGGAGGGGGAAAATTATCATTTTGATGCATGGGAAACGAAAGCAGTTCATAGAATTCATTCCTTTTTTTAAACCTCTTACAAAACAAAGTAGGACTGGTGAACTACTTCAATTTGATTCTCAATCTAGATATCTTAAACCTGGAGTCCTCTTCATAGCTAATGGCAGAAACATCTCGTTAACCTGACAGAGAGTCAGCTCCACTCTGGAAGTGCTAACCAATGCAGTTAAATAACAGAATAAAAGACTCAGTCCTGCAAGAAGGCAAGCCTATCATTTGCAGGTGATAGAGTTGTGTGTCTGGAACACCGAAGAGAATCATCCAGAAATGGTTAGAAATAAGTAGTTCAGCAAGATAGCTTGTACCAAAACAAATATATAAAGATTAATTTTCTTATATTAACAAAATGGAGAGGTTATCCCTTTAATAATGGCAATAAAAACTTCTAAAAAACTAAAAACAAATATACAAGATCTATATTAAGATGCTATAAAGCTGTAGACCTAAAAGAAGCCTGCATGCCTTGTATATATGATAGGCTCACCAAGTATTTCTGCATAGACCATTCCTGAAAGGATGCTGCAAAAATCTGTCATTTCCGTCTACCTCTAGGGAGCGGTACTGGGTGGCTGAGGGATAGGAGAGTGGGAGGAAGATGACATCTTCACTCAATATCCTTTTATAATTTGAAATTTGTGCTGTCTAGATGAATTGCTTATTTTTAAAAATATTTTTGAGTGTTTGGATGAATGACAAAAACAAATGAAGAGGCAAACGTTTTTTTTTTTTAATCACAGCTTTATTGAGATATAACTCACTATATAATCCACCTGTTTACAGAGTACAATTCAGTGGTTTTTAGCATTTTGACAGAATTGCATAGCCATCACCACGCTCAATCTTATAGCATTTCTGTCACACGAAAAGTAATCCCTTACCCATTAACAGTTACTGTCCATTCCCAGCCAGCCTCTAGTAACCACTAACCTACTTTCTGTCTCTGTGGATTTGCCTGTTTCAGACATTTCATATAAATGGAATCATATGTGAATTTTCGTGTCTGGCTTATTTCACTTAGTACAGTGTTCTCAGGGTTCATCCATGCTGTGGCACACACAGCTTTCCATTTTATGGATATACCATACATTTTTGTTTATCCATGCATCTATTAATGGATATTTGAGTTGTTTGTACCTTTTGACTATTGTGAATCATGCTGTTGTGAACATTTTTTGAGAAATTGATACAAGTGAGTCAAATATGGATTCAAATTGTCTAGCAATCCATTTTTATGATCCTAAAAGAGAGTATTGGTGAATCATCACAAATTTGCTTTCTTCATTTAGATAGATGACAATTTGTAATTCTACAAAATTTCACCTTCCTTCTAAATCCATTTTAAGAAATTCTACTGTTTGACTCTTTCAGGTAGCTACTCGGAAAGCATGTGGTTTGGCTCTGGCTAAGCTGGGCCATGCAAACGATAGAGTCATTGTGCTGGACGGTGACACCAAGAACTCTACCTACTCCGAGGTGTTCAAGAAGGAGCACTCTGAGCGCTTCATCGAGTGTTTTATTGCTGAGCAAAACATGGTGTGTATGTTATAAGAATCCTTCTTTGGTCTTCCCTTTGATTAACAGTGGCCCACGGGACACAGGAAGTCCATCCCACCTTGTAGTTTTCCTTTTCATTTATAAAAGCAAAGTTAATGGAGAAAAAAATGTCTCCAGGGAAACAGGTGGAGAGTAGCTGGGCACAGCCTGAGGAGTGGCTTCCAGAACTGCTAGGAGGAGCATGGTAGACTACTCAGCACCCTGTCTTGGTAGGCCATGACCATTTGACCCCAGGGCTCCAGGCTCAAAGCATTCTGAGCTCCCTAGTAGCTCTAGGTGGCCTTGTTCTTTTTACCCAGCTCACAGCCAAGCAATTCTACAACTACACAGGGACCAGTAGGTTGAGAGAGCTACAAAGGATTGTGATTTCTCTCTCTTCACTGCAGTACAGGACCTAATATACCCTAGACACTCAAATGCTGTGCTTATTGCATCCTCGAGAATGTGAGTAGAGCTGTGGTCTTGGATAAAGCTGTTCTGCTTATCTGTGCTTCATCTCTCCCTGGAGTGATATTAATGCAGGGAGTCTCTTTTACATGTGCACATACCCCCACACCCCTTCTCAAAGAAAGAAAAGAGTTAATGCCAGTAAACACCTTGACTTCTAAAGCTTTGTGCCAGTATGGAGGACAGTGTATATCTGTCTTCACATTTTAAAGGCCAAAAGCAACCATTGGCTGGAAAACTATGGGCCAGCAGGTTTCATGAGACCACCAGAGGTATTTTATTTAGGACAAGTGATATTTACAAATTTCTAAAAGTAGTTGCCAGCTTTTAAAAATCAGATTTTATATAGAATATGAATTTCTGGATTCTCTTGAAGAATAGGAAAATCTGGCAACACTGGGATGGCATATTCCCTCAGCTAGAGTCATTTAAATGGACATCCCTTAACCCTTTCAGCAGCCTGCTTATTCACTCATGGTGCTTCCTGGGCCCTGTAAGTGTTGGAATTTCGGGTCCCTGTTCAGTGAGGCAGGTCGTTAACAATTGTAAGAATATGTACATTTTTTTCTGAGTCTCATTAAGCTGTTTCCAGTTTGAATGGAAATAATAGAATCCATAATTTCTGAATTAAGCCTCCTATCAAAAAGCTTGCTCCCCAACTCACTGATGATCTCTTCAGTCATCAATCATACTCTGTGCCTACTGATATGTTCTTAGAGTTGGAAGAAAACTAGTAAAGAAGAAGCCAGCAGGTAGTATCCAGTGCCAAGATGAAACAGATAGCTAGTGAGAGAGTGACTAGCACCAATCAGGGACAGCCTCTTGGAAGAGGTGACATTTAAGCTGAGACTTAAGTGACAGAGAGTCAGCCACATACAGATATGGGGGGGTGGCATTCCCAGCAGTAGGCATAGCTATTGGTGGAGCAGGCCAAAATTTGAGATGTTTGGGGAGCAGAAAAAAGGGCACAGTGGCAGAAGTATGGTAAATACAAAAGGAAATGGGTTTAGAAAGGTCACCAGATTATATGGGGCTTTTGCAGGGCATGACCTCATGTCAGTTCCCAGAGGAGGGGGCAAATGAAAAAGGGTGTGACTGAGCCCCAGGACTCAGTCCAGTGGCCTTGGTAAAGAGGCGTGCACCATCCAGCAGATCCAGCAGGGGCAGGAGTAGCAGCATCCACTGGAGGAGGGGAGTTGTTTTGTGGAATGCTGCAGAGAGGTCAAATGCAATGCAAACAGATCAGGCAAACTCTTGCATTTGGCACCTTTCAAGTCCCTCATAGGGATGACAGGCTAGACAAAGGCTAGGGAGGGACAATGTGGGAAGTTGTGAAGGAGGACATAGATGAAAGGTGGTCTCTGGAGGGGAAGGACAAGGTGGAGGTGGGAAGGAAAAGATGAAAGATAGCAGCAAATACCCAAATGATGAGCAAACCCAAGAGAAAGGGAAAAACTGTAGAAAGGGGAGGGGATAATTGTACAGTCAGAGATACCCTTGAGAAAGGAAGACATGACTCAGCATGGTGAGTGGGCCTTAGGTAGATGCTGGGCCACCATGTCTCCTAGCAGCACAGCTGGAGAGGCCAGTTTAGTCAGATGGGAGAACCTCCATTGTTCGCCCCTCATTCCCAGGAGGTGTGAGGTGAGGACACCATGTGAGGGGGCAGGGAGAAGGGTATACAGAAGGTTTGGGAAGGGGAGCATGGGAAAGAGACCCATGAGGAATGGGGGGTGGTCATAAGTGTCCCAAACGTTTCCTTCTTGGATTTGAGGAGCCAGGTCAATTCCTCTGATTTCTGACAGTGTTCAGTGAACACTGGGTTGGCCAGGTTTGGGGTTTCCCTGGGTATGTGCCTGGGGTGGGGTGAGGCAGGGAGGTGTGCAGAACAGGGATGTTATCCTGGGAACCATGCACTCTCCACTTGGTAAGGGGAAAGAGGGGCAGTTAGTGGTGATGGGGGCCGTGTCCAGGGGTGTTCTGATTCATCTTCTTGGTATTACAGGTGAATGTGGCACTGGGATGTGCCATCCATGGTCGGACCATTGCTTTTGTTAGTACCTTCGCTGCCTTTTTGACCCGAGCATTTGATCAGATCCGGATGGGAGCCATCTCTCAAAGCAACATCAACCTTATTGGGTCCCACTGCGGAGTATCTGTTGGTAGGAGTTCTCAATGCCACCATCTTGATAGCCTTTCTACTTTACAGAGAAAGATTAGTATCTGAACAGTTGAATCGCCAGTGTACATAGGGTTTCATAACGTTTCATTATTTGTGACCACTTTTTTAAAAACCATATTGTGCTTTATAAGTTCTAGATATTTTGGATAACTTTTGACTGGATCTCTTGATATTACTATAAAATGCCTACTTTTGCAGTCATTGAGAAATAATAATCTGTCCTGAATTCGTTCTTCTTACATGTCAAGCCACATACTGGGTATGAATAGGGCCATCCCAGCATTACAGAATCCTTTTCTGCTCTTGGTATGGTCATAGACACAGAAAAGTGGGGGGCACAGCCTGCCAGGGTTTTGCCTGGGGGGAACAGCCTGGTGGGAAGCAGTGGGACACTTTGAGAATCCTGAGGCTGAGGAAGACATCACTCTTGAGGCATTAACCTGGGAGGACAAGCTAGGTGGGAACAACAGGAAATGGGCAAGCCAGGGAACAGCAGTGGATAGAAAATAAGGGTGAGTCTGAAAAAGTCTGAAGAAAGAAGTCACGTTGCTGAGAGATGGAGGAGTCCAGAATTGCCTGGGAAACATTAGGGAGTCAGGGTTATGAGTGACAGATACAAGAATTTGGGAAAGATGGAGATGACTGGTGTACCTGTGGTGGGGCAGGAAATGTAAACATGACATCTTATATTTGCTGCTAGAATGCTAGAGAGGAGGGGAGATCTGGAAGTGCCCATTTGGGAGTCATCTCTGCGACTCCATGGGAGAACTAGACTAGCTAAGAAGTCTCTGGATGGGCCAGATGCAGAGGGAGAGAGCAGAGTGAGAGGAGAGCCAACAGCATTTGGGCTGACCTGGGCAGAGGGCCTGGGATTTGGGGGTCTTGGCCTGAGACTGGGTAGAGTAAAAATTTCAAAATAGCTAAGTGGAGAAGTGGCTCTAGGTCCAACCCAGAGAGGAGCTAGGGGTTCTGAGGTTAGGTAGTCATCCCAGGCAAGGCAGTGTGCACAGTGACAGTCTGCTTCCTAGCTTGAAGAAGTAGGCTACTCCAGTATACATTGGGCTTTCTCTTCACACTATTCTGGCCAGAAACTCTTTCCAAACAAACCCTAAGGCCCCCTTAGTTACAACAGCACCCCAAGGGTTCCCTCAAGGAACCCTTATGCTCAGCTACCTTGAAGGCCTTAAGAAAGGAATAAGAGCACTTCAATCTAAAAACCCCAGTCTCTTGATTGAGAAGATAGAGGAGTGGAGGAGGAAGAACAAGAGCCTGAGAGGACCCTTATAAGGAGAAAGGGGGACAGGGACAGAGACTTGATAGGCCGACTTGGCCACCTGTGCTCAAGGAGAAGAGCATCAAGTCACCTTGGACAGTAGTAGTGACGAAGTGCCAGAGGTTGGCAAGGGTCAAGGGCCAGGGGTGTGCAGCCCAGGATGACTATGCAGCTCAACACAAAATAGCAAATACTTAAAACTTTTTTTTTTTTTTTGCTCATCCGTTTTTGTGTTTGTGTATTTAATGTATTTAATGTGCGGCCCAAGACAACTCTGCTTCCAGTGTGGCCCAGAAATGCCAAAAGGTTGGACACCCCTGATCAAGGCCAAAAAGGGACCACTGGTTTGTTGATCTGGAAGGTCAATTAGCCAAACCTGGAGTGTCACAGTGATGTCTCAAGGGAGGTAGATGTGTGACAGCTTATTATAAGGCATTATATTGATAAAAGAATTGGACCATTTTGTAGGGCTCTGCTATAGTTGTGCCCCTCACCTCCACCTCATAGCAATAAGAGCTGTTGCTTACGAGCAGAGGACAGGGTCCTAGCTTTTTGGTCTTGCTCATGTTTTTGTTGGGCTGTGGCTTTGTTTTCTCAGGTGAAGATGGCGCCTCCCAGATGGCCCTGGAGGATTTGGCCATGTTCCGAGCCATTCCCAACTGCACCATTTTCTATCCAAGTGACGCAGTCTCAACAGAGCATGCTGTGTTCCTGGCAGCCAATACCAAGGTATTTTTAGGGGACGCAGGTTCAAACAGAAAATACTTCTGATCTCTGCTACTAGTTTGGTACTGATGGTTGGATTTTTCCTATTTTTTTCTCAGCATAAAGGTAATGGATATTCATTATAGATAATTTGGTTGTAGGATTCCTTTTAAAACTAGAACTATTACCCAATAAAGGTGATGTAAACACATGAAACAAGAACACATTCCAAGACACATAGTGCAGAAGGATGCTGAACACCACCTAACTTCCCCAGATTGGGCAGGGCTCAGCCAGAAGAGGGAGCCTGGGGCTCTGAGGCAGGGCACTTCTGGCGGAGCTGAAGGAGTTGGCTCCTACAGTGAGCTATCAGGTGCTGGCCTTAGACACACCCCGTGCCACCACCTTGTGACATCCAGAAAGTTTGAGAGTGGCTGGTGGGACTCCGTTGCAGACAAACCCTAGGGTCCCTTATAAACAGTGCAGAAGAGCAAGAGTATGGTTTCTGCCCCAGTTGCCCCTCCTGAAGTCTCACACAAGGACATCAGATGAACACAACATGATTCCCGCCCAGGATCCAGATGCAGGGGCATATAGAGGATATAGCCTTCACCTTTCCAATCACTGCAACTATCTGTCACCAGACTCTCCTCACCACCCAGTTCTGTACCCGCCCATGCCCTAACATAGGTGACTCTCGGCACAGTTGTGGTGGGTTGTATAAGTTTTGTTCTAAGCATTTGCAACGTATTCAAGATGTGTTTCTTTGACCTTTTTTTTTTAACCCTATATGGACTCACACTGTATGTATTGTTTCATACACTGTATCCTGGAAGTTGCTTTATGCCTGTGCCTACACTGAGTGATCTCATATGTGCTGGAGGATTCCATTTCTAGGAAAATCAAAGAAGGCAAAACAAAGCTGTGGTGACAAATCAGAACAGAGATTGCAGCTTGGGTAGGCACAGTGACAGGACAGAAGCACAAGGGAACTTTCTGGGCAGATGAATGCAATCTGGACTCAGGTGATGGTTATGCAGTGTATACTTTTGTCAGAATTTGTGGAGTGCTCTACTGAGGTACCTCAGTAAAAACACTGAATAGCCCTGGCTGGTGTGGCTCAGTGGATTGAGCATTGGCCTGTGAACCAAAAGGTTGCTAGTTTAATTCCCAGTCACAGCACATGTCTGGGTTGTGAGCCAGGTCCCCGGTAGGGGGCACTACTGCAAGAGGCAACAACACATTGATGTTTCTCTCCCTCTCTTTCCACCTTCCTTCTCCTCTCTAAAAATAAATAAAACAAAATCTTTTTTTAAAAAACATTGAATAGAATTTATTTATAACATGGGAACGAAAAGAAGTTATGTTTCTAAATTGATGTGTTCATTTATAATGTATGATTTATGTATGTAAATTAAGTACTTTAGACATTTGAGTATTTATACTTCTGTTTATGTATTCAAGTTGATAAAAATGTATTTACACCTTCTCACTAGGAAAATATTGAGTCATTTTATATTTCACTGCTCGAGGTATCTCTAAGGTTGAAGCATTACAAGCTATTGCAGGAAAAATTAACTATTTAACATTGTGTTCTGACCTTTCTATTAAACATGAGCCAGTGCTCCTGCTCTGAATTTATGTTCTATGGGGACAGGTTGGTATGTATTTGAGAAAGCTTTTTTAAATCAGTGAATGTGACAGCATGCAAAGCTTGCCACTGAGGGCATCCATCTGCTAGGATCCTGTATAAACTTTTGCCTGGCTCAGTAGTAACCTGACCAGGTGATACCTGACCTGTTTGCCAGTAGTTGTAAGTGCTTATCCCTTGATCTAAAATGTGTGCTTTGTTTTAGTAAACCGAACTGTTCAGTCCTCCTCTCCTCATCCCACTGTTTGTTTTTTGTTTTTTAAGATTTATTAGTTAAAAATTGAGTTTGACTTTTCTAGTAGTTCTGGTTTTCGTTCATACCCTAGGGGATGTGCTACATTCGGACCAGCCGACCAGAAACTGATGTTATTTACACCCCACAAGAAAGTTTTGAGATTGGACAAGCCAAGGTAAGGCCTTAAGTTCTCCAGTGTCCTCTCGTATCATTTCATGTGCAGAGAACTATTCTAAAGCTAGCACTAAGTATCCATGCAATCAAGGCTTTATCTTTTCTTCATTCTAGTTTTTAGAAAAACAGTTGTGACCTTTGCCTTCTTTTCCTCCAGAAAGAACATTCTACCAATATCAGCCAGAACTGAACTTTTCTCCTTTCCAAAATGAGACTATTTTTGTTGGATTTTCTAAGATAAGCAATACACCTTGAAGGCACTTGAGTTGCTTGGCTATAACTTGTCACAGCCTCAAGCTAAACAAAATAATAGAACCCATTTCAAAGGAATAATAGTTCTGTGAGGTTCTGGTTTGGCATACTCAAAGCCAGGAAAATACGGGAACGTGAACCATTTTGCTGCCAGCCATTGTGTGGCCCTGAAATAGGTTTTGCACATTGGATGTGGCCTCACCTGTAGGCCTGCTGATAAAGGCTGGCATCCTGTGCACTTTCTGTCTCCTGTGTTTTCACAAAAGCCCTAGAAGCACAGATTGTTAGAAGCCTTGTATGGTAGACAAGGATCAGAAAAGGTGAGCCTTGCTCAGGTTTCACAGTAAGCAGCAAGAGATCATACTGCATAGAAGAGTTTTATGTCCTACTCTTACAAACCTTTTAGAAAATCATTAATACTCTTCTTTTTCTAATGTTTTATGTATTTTTAAAGAGGGTGAAGAAAAAGGGGAGAAACATCGATGTGCTAGAGAAACATCAATTGGTTGCTTCTCGCATGCCCCCAACTGGGGACCTAGCCCCGCAACCAAGGCCTGTGCCCTTACTGGGATTTGAACCGGCAACCTTCTGGTCCACAGGCTGGCACTCAATCCACTGAACCATACCAGCCAGAGCCAGTATACTTATACTCTTCTTAAATATGTGAAAGACCAATAGCTATTCTTGAAGGAGTAACGGTGACAACCTACTTAATTGCCAAAGGCTAGGCTGCTCCAGAATTTATAGTTGCTAGTGCTCAGAATGACTGACTGAGCGCTGAGTGCCTTTAGTGCTGTAATAAAGCAAGTATATCCAGAACAGTCCATGGCCTGCAACTAGGTAGCTAGCCAACACTGAATGAAAAAGCTGCAGTGCTCACCTTCAGTGTTCAACTATAGGTTCTGTTGTTCTCTACTCCCACATTTAAACTGAAGGCCATGTGTTTGCCTTTGGAGTGTGTGGGGTCTCAATGATAGTCATACAGTCTACAGAGCTTTCTCATACCTCTCCTGTCTTTTTATCCCCTAATATTTGCCCTTCCTGACAAAATAAATTTTCTAATTTTAAAGGATATTAAAATATGTAAGATAATATGCATGGCATGGAATAACTCAAGGGGTGAGTTCTGCAAAAGGGGTGTGTGTGTGTGTGTGTGTTTATATGTATATATATGAAAAGGTCAGGAAATTCTCAGGGAATAGGGTGGCTTAGAAGCCCTGAATGTCTGTACTGTCAGCAATGGTCCTAAAGCTGTAGGGAAACCTGTACCTATGGCTCAAATGAAGACTAATTCCAGATGCCTTCGGTTGGGGAGCTTTGAAGGAAACCAAACTCTGAGAAAGGCCAAGGGCCCATGTCTTTGCTTACAAAATAGCGGGTGGTTGGGAGTGTGGGTTTAACATCAGATAAGCCTACATCAGATAGGCCTGGTTGCTAGTCTCAGCCCTCGGCAGGTTCCTTCTGCTCTGAGATTTGCTTCCCTCAGCCGCAGAATGGACCCACTAATGCCACAGACCTCACAGAGCACTTGGGGCATGCAAGGTGCTTGGCACAGAGCATGTAGCAGATGCCCCCAAATGGTCCCTGTTAACATGTTCATCAGTGGAGTTCGATCTCTGTGTTCACCCCAGCAAGATGTCCAAGCCATCCAGAGATGGTGCCTTTCCAGACTCCTCAGTGGGTATGAGTCCATGCTCTGGTTGTACATAGGCTGTACAACTCACTTCTGGCCCTCTGCCTTTCAAATCCAAGTTTGATATCCACCTTCTTTGTTAAAAGGTCATTTTGTATTTGTATTATGTAAGAACTTAGTCATTTGGCACTGGAATCATGAAGAAAGATAGATGAATTTGTAAAACATATATGAAGTGGGGGTTATAAAAAAGAGCATGTCATTGCCAGTGTGTTTCTTTAGCCTTTTTTTGTAGTGCATTAAGTAGTGAAATTGGTAGGATCAGGGAAGAGCAGTGTAGCAGTGTCTTCCACTTTGAGATGCACTCTGACCATAGTAACCACAGCATTTTTGTTTTGCGGTGTGCATACCAGGTCATTCGCCACGGTGTCAATGACAAGGTCACAGTTATTGGAGCTGGAGTTACTCTGCATGAAATCCTAACAGCTGCTGATGAGCTTTCCAAAGAAGGTCAGGGTTGTTGGGGTTTTTTTGTTATTGTTTTTGTTTTTGTCTTTTTTTTCCCATAAATGTTGAAGTTCCAGCTGGGGAGAGGTAGGACTTGGGCTGCCTTGTGTGCCCTGACTGGTCTTTTTATTCTAAGTCTGCTTTATAAACCAAGCTGGTTATTGCTGTTCTCCAGATATTTCTATCCGTGTCATCGACCTATTTACCATTAAACCCCTGGATGCTGCCACCATCATCTCCAATGCAAAATGCACAGATGGCCGAGTTATCACAGTGGAGGATCACCACCCAGAAGGTATGTCTTTTTCAGTGTCTGCTTTGGCAGGAAGTGTTTGGGTTTTCCTTGATTGGAGGCACCCTGTGCTCCTGAGCATCAACTTCAAACAACCACTTACCCAACAACCTTTATTACTGCTCCTTGCAAGTGTATTGACTTAGGGGTCTCTTGCCCACCTACCCTGGCTCCCTAAGGATGGGGCTGTGCCCATACTCATTTGTATGTCCCCAGCACAGTACACAGTGCCTGGTCCCTGGGTGGCTCATTGGCAGCACAAAGGAGTGTCTTAACTCGGCATTGTGGGCAGGGGCAGTTCATGAAGAGCTTCACAGTTGCTCTTGAGTTTTGAATGACAAACAGTTTCCTCCTCCAAAAAAACGGGAATAGTGCCTTGTAATCACAGAGCACAGCAAATGTAGAAAAAGTATATGTCAGAGAAAAGGGGCTGGGCAGTGTTTGACCTGGGAAGGTTAGGTGGGGCAGAAAAAGGGCCTCAAGAGCATACCCTAGATCCACAGAGAGTCCCTAGAAGCACTCCCAGTGCTTTTGTGGCTGAGATTTACTACAGGGAGAGGGCACACTCCAGGACCTGCAATGATAGAGGGCACAGGTCGGGTAGAGAGCTCCAGGGCTTATGCGTCCTCTCTCCTTCAGTCTCACGAGGGGCCTGCCCAGTACTCTCCCCTCTTCAGCAGCGAAAAATATATCACTGCAGACCCAGGGAATCAACCCACTTGAGACCCAGTGCCCCGGGTTTTATTGGGGGCTGGTCACGTGGGCCCCCTGTGCCAGACACATACCAAATTTCCCACTCCCAAAGGAAAGCAGATGCTCCGCAGGGACCACCATTATCGTAGGGAAATTATCATGTCGACCTAGGGGACTTGCAGCAGTTCACTGCCCATGTTCCATCTGAGGGCCAACCTTGCAAGATGCACTTCTGAAGTTGGTCACCTCAGGCCTTCCAGTTGCTCTTTTCTTTACAGTTCATTTGTTGGTTTTGATTGTTTTTGGGTTCCTGACAGCTTTGAGTACCTGAGTTCCACAGTCCCCTGTATCCATAAAGCCCTAGTTGAGAGCTCCTACTGTAGGTGGGGCCGGGAGCAGTTTGGAAACCTGCAGTTTAGAATGAGAATTATTCTGGCCAGTCAAGGAATGAATGCTTCCATGAATCAATAGTAATGAAAAATCTTTCTCTCTGAGAACCAGCAAATTCAAAGGCCTGTATGTCATGAGGCATTAAGGCTGACTAGCTGCTTCTGGAACAAAGCCTAACATCCTTTGCTTTCCCCAGGTGGCATCGGGGAGGCTGTCTGTGCAGCCGTTTCCATGGAGCCTGACATCCTGGTTCACCAACTGGCAGTGGAAGGAGTGCCTCGGAGTGGGAACACGAGTGAACTGCTGGATATGTTTGGAATTAGTGCCGAACACATTGTAGTGGCTGTGAAATGTATTCTAACAAGCTAAAATAGCTATTGGCTTCAGTGTTAAAAGACTAGCCTCTACATTTATGCATGTTGACAAACCTTCATTTAAATCTATACTGTTAGTTCTTAGTTCTCTTAAAAAGCAAATTAGCTACCTTCCTATTAAGCCTTAACTACATATACAAGGGTAACTCTCATCTTTAAGTAATTAAAGTGGGTTAGAAGATTTTAAGTAATGGAATAGCTAACAAAACAACCACCTAATATCAAAGTTTATGATGAGACTACAGATAGCTGGGCTGAGGATTTATATAGGGTAACAGTTTCTAAATGTGTATATTTTCCTTATAAGTAAAGAAAATGTGAACTGTAGGCTGCAACCACCTGGGTTGTGCAGCACTATAACACCATGCTGCATGCTGCTGTCCCAGGTCAGCAATTTATGTGCTGCCATCTTACCTGCAGCTTCCTGGGTACTGTCTGACTGCAGATGCTCTGGAATTTCATCTCCCCTCTTATGGTGTGTGGAGCAGCAGAGACAGCTCTTAGAATATCATCCGCTGCTTGTGGTGGCTGATCTGTAAAGAGAGGACACAAGTAGTTCTAGGCTCCACACTGCACTCTTTGGTGAGGTCTCAGAAATGTTTCATTTGCCCAGCGACTAGACCAAACTGTTAGCTCACTTGTATATGTACTATGGATACTAGTTAAAGTTAATAAAGCATTGAAAAAACCATCTGCTTTATTTCATTTGTGCCTTGTATGTGTGATTTGGTTTCTCCTGGATAAAGAAAGAGCTTCTGTCTAAACCAGAAGGAGAAAGAGCCATGTCCCCCAACAGCAAACCCAGGAAAGGGTACTGGGCAGGATACGTACCACTAGAGGACAGTGTATGGCCTCAAAAGCCATCCCTGAGTCGACTCCTTATTTCAGCTGTAAGCACATAAATCATGTGTTTGGAATACAAGAAGAAAGTAGCCAAAGAAGGATTTGAACTTCAAAACTAAATTTAAAGTTGACTGGATGTGTTTGGTATGTCATGGTCCTTATTCTTACTGCTGTCATTAACTGGTCGTCAGGGGCCTTTGTCCTAGAATGAGGTAGACACTGAAGAACTACCCTGGCACTCCGCTCAGAGTCTTTGTTGGGGGCCTACTCATTCTGTTCCTTTTTAAACCACTGAGCTAATTTCCTGGCCTATAAAATTAGCATATTGTGCTTATTTTTTAAATTTCACAAAATCTTATTTTTGTGAAATAAAAAGTTGATATAATACAAAATAAACAAAAATAGAAAAATTAGAAATACCAAACCATTGATCTTTTTAATAAAAATCACAGTTGACAAAGGGTCATTTAGGAAGTTTAGAAAATGCACCTAAGGAAAGGTTTATTTCACTTAACCATCTCATACTCCATACAATTTCATCCATTGAAAGTATGCAATTCAGTGGTTTTGGAACATTAAGAGTTGTGCAACCATCACCATGGTCAATTTTACATTTGTATACCCAAAAGAAACCCTTCACCCCTTAGTAGTCACTCCCCATTCACCTTCCCAGACCCTGGCAACCACTCACGCATTTTCTGTCTATGGATTTGCTTATTCTGGACATAGATGTCGCCTTTTTGTGTCTGGCTTATTTCACTTACCGTGATGCATTTGAAGTTCATCCACATTGTAGCATGTGACAGAACTTAGTTTCTTTCTCAATTTTTTAAAAGATTTTTATTTTTAGGAATTTCTTTTTAGGACCAGCCCTGGCTGGTGTGGCTCAGTGGATTGATTGAGTGCTGGCCTGAAAACCAAAGGGTCACTGGTTTGAGTCCCAGTCAGGGCACATGCCTGGATTGCGGGCCAGGTCCCCAGTTGGTGTGCAGGAGACAACCAATCGATGTATCTCTCACACATCGATGTTTTTTCTTCCTTCCCCTCTCTAAAAATAAATAAAATCTGTATTTTAAAAAAAGACTAGCCCTGGCTAATGTGGCTCAGTGGATTGAGTGCCAGTTGGCAAACCAAAAAAAAAAGAGTAGTCTCTGTAGAGACCACATTTTATCTTCATAATTTGAGGCACATTGGAGTTATTTTCACTTTATTGTGAATAATACAACATTTGTATTCAATTCTGTGTATATATTGGGTTAGCCAAAACCATTGAGGTTTTTCCTGTAAAATAAGACACATTTTTCATTGTCACCAGTAACTTGATTGATTTAGATATTGAGTGTGTTGGCTATCTCCCGCTATTGGCTTCTAGTGGGTAGAGGCCAGGGGTGCTGCTAAACATCTTCCAATGCCTAAGACAGCCCCACAGCAAATAATTATCTGGGCAAAATGTCAGTAGTACCAAGGAACTTCACAAACCACTTTTGACATGTTCAATCAGTCACAGCTCCTTCTCCATATACTGCACAAGTCTTTTTTTGCATTGCAGTTGTGTTTTTACCATTCTTGGCGTAATAAAGCATAATATGTCAAAAATTTGTCTTTTCCATCTTCATTATTAAAATGGATACACAAAAATTCAATTTGGTTAAGTTTTTTAATAAAGTAGAAATGATCCTTGAAAGTATGGTCTTCAATTTGGGTAAGTTTTTTTAAATGCATGCTGATGTGACAGCTGTCACAATACAATCTAACAAAATTGTTTCAGATGAAGTTAAAGAACTAAGCACTACTAGAGCCATCATATGGAAAAAAACTACAACTTTTTGGCCAACCTGATATATTTTCACTTCTCAGGTGTATATAAACCTAGGAGTGGAATTGTCAGGTCACATGGTAATTCCGTTTACCATCTGAGTGCGTGTGTACACTTAACAGTTTTGAGAGGAGTGAGTGAGATAATGCTGTGACATTTATAAAGCACTGTATATGCAAAATTCCCTTACTTCCTGTATCTGCAGGGCTGACAGTGCTGAAAATCAAACACAACATTTAATTGTGTGTGTTACAGAATCCCGATCTCATTTGAATTCCCAGCCTCTCCATGTTTCTCATGTGAAAGGTAGGGCAGCAGTTGGAGGAGCAGGATCCTGAAACCTGGAACTGGGATGTCTGGTTGGTCTCAGTTGAAGCTGACCATCAGCAAGCCCCCAGGCCCTCTGAGCATCCCCTTCTGGTGAAAGTAGTCTGCTTCCCCATGTCTGGGGACTGGTGTTCCATTGCTGGAGGACTGTGCCATTACCTCACTTGAGCAGATGCCTTGCAAGGCGATACCCGTTGTCCTTGAAATCTTCTGCAACCACCCCCTGTTGCCATTAGACCCCAAACTAGGGTCCAATCACAGCCCAGGTGTAGCTCCTGAGTGCAGAGTAGTCAAAGGGGCGGTAGAGGCAGGTGCACAGTCAAATGGTATAAGTGCTGAATGTTCCTTAATTGTTCTAGAGCCATGGACCCTTGCGCCTGTGCCCCTGAGGCTTCAGAATGCCTACTTGCTGCTCTGATCCCCTCCCACTGAGGAGCTGCACTCGACCTGCTTGGCCTTCACCTCCAGGTCAACAGCTACTTGTTGGGGTGGTGAAGTGGTGACTAGGTAACCCATTTTGCCTGCTTGTTTCATCTGTGATGGTGCTGACGGCAGCGATAGTATCCATCTCACAGGACTATGACCAGAATTTTAGAAGTGCTATTGAAATGTCCCCATTGAGAGCTGTCCTGCCTTCTTGGCTGGTTTCTCCTCCCCAGCCGCTAGCTCGGCCCTCGGCTCACCCCAGCCCCTTCCTGGCCTCACTGGGATTGTTCCAGGGCTCAGCCGCAATTCGGGCCCGTCTTTCCCCTCCCTGGCCAACCCTCCCCTCCTCCGCAGCCCTGGCTGCTCGCACTCCCCTCCGAACCGCCTATGCCCTACTGGAGCTCCCTCTACCCACCATTCGGCACTGCCTCGCGCAGGCCCGGCCCGGCGGCCCGGCCCACCCCACCGGCCCCGAGCTGGCTGCACTGGCCTACCCGGGCATGCCAATCAGCGTGCGGGCATGGCCCATGCCACGTCACGTCATTTGGGCTTTGTTCCGTCACTCATTGGGACTCAGCCAATCGGCACCGCCCAGCGACACGCTGGGCGTGGAAGGCAACGTCAGAGTAGCAACCACCCGCTGAACCGGGCTAGAGGCTGGAGCCCGATTGTTTGCACGCAGCCCGGCCTTCTGAAAAGAGGGGCAGGCAGCTACCCTAGCCCCCCAGAACGAGTCGGACAAGGACACTGCTTCTAACCGCAGGCTGACTGGCGATGGAGGACATCGGTATGGCCAGAGAAAAGGGGATGCTAGGGTGGAATAGGGTGTGGTGGCGGTGTGGAGGGGTAGGGGTGCAGGGGAGAGAGGGGAGGGTGGTAGTGGGTGGAGGTGCAGGTAGGTGTGGTGGCAGCAGTGTGCATCCCAGGCCCTTCTGGACTCCTACAGGGGAAGGAAAGTGATACAGAGACTCAGAGCTCCAAAGCAAATGGGGTCTGGCAGCTGAGCGCGCTACCCAAAGCACACCCACCCACAGACACACGGGCCCAGTTGTGGCTTTACTTTCCACAAGAAAGTAAGAAGGTACCTTCTCTGTCCCAACTGTGATACCGTGTCCTGTCAGGCCATGCTTGGGATCAGAAAATCAGTGGCATGACCATGGGACTATGAGCTTGGGAAGGGCCCAGGAAATACGGGCATGGTCAGTGACCTGATAGAGGTCAAAGGAGGGTGGAAAAGCCAGGACAGGAAGAATAAGACAAAATTCTGTCTAGGATATTGCTTGGGAAAACCTGCAAGTTTTATAGAATTTTTTAAAAATAACTAATTTTCAATTTGTTCTAAGTTGGTGTTTTGCATTGCCATGCTAAATGACATTCATTTCATTGGACAATTGCTCAACTCAGAAATGTTTCCATGTAAATGGCATTTCTTCTCTCTCTGCCCCGCCTCCACCTCAGATGGAGAGCTATACCATGACTGTGGACTAATAGACTGTAGAGAAGTCATGGCTCCCAGTTTAATCTGTACACTTAATGCAGATCTAGCAGCAGCAGCAGAAGAAGAAGAAGAAGAAGAAGAAGAA